TTCCGGTTTGTCTGATTTGTCGTTGTGTTTTCTGACTTGTTCATTTGTTTTCGGATTTGTCATTGTGTTTTCTGACTTGTTATAATGTTTTCTGAATTGTTGTTGTGCTTTCTGAATTGTTATTTTGTTTTTTAGACTTGCATTTGCGTTTGTAATTTGTTATTTTGTTTTCAGAATAGTGATCTGCTTTGCACTTCTCGGCCACCGTACCTTTGTCAACTTACAGTCAAAACAACATTTATTCAGACACCTTCAACATTCCTCACATTATCACAGTTTATTCGCTATAGTTTAGAAGATGGTAATAAAATATGGCAAGGACTGTGCCAGAACAAATTCACCTTGATAATGTCATAGCACTTTAATAGAAAGGTATGTAATGGATTACGATCAACCAAAAAATATTCAGACAACTGATGATTGTATTTGCAGGTTGTCCTGCACCCACTAGTAAAAAAAAAAATCATATATATATATATATATATATATAGGCATCCCTATGAAGCCTACTATATCATATTTGATACATGCATTTCTAAGGCCTCTTATCAAATTATGTTGAAATGTTAATATCAAATATCAGGGTTTTGAGGTATATTTAGGCTATTAATTATCATTGTATTACACTGTGTAATATAATTTGCCCACCACCATTAAAACCACATAGCTTTATACATAAAAATAAGCATTTAAATATTATCTTACTAAGACATATTATCAACAGGGTGGACAGTTTAAGCTTCAATTAGCATAGTAGCTTACAACAAACTGTGACTAGTTAAATATTTAGTCGGTTAGGTTGTTGAAGAGAATTTGGTATATTTAAACGTACATATTTTTAAAATACTGTAGTCGAATCACTTCTGGCATATTTTATGGCGACAGGGTGGACACTGGACATGGTAAGCTTTGGCAGAGCAAGTAAGCAAACTCATATGAAGAAAATTTGTCAATTGAAAAGAAAGTCACCAACTTACTCACCTCAGCCATGAAATTCCCGCCACTGAAGAGACAAAAATCTGTTGTCCTGATGTCAGTAAAATGGATGGCCTTTTCTGAAAGGGGCGGATTCCCCAATACGACAGTGTGGACAACCATTCAGGGGACATGGACAAACTCTTACTGTTTTTATTAAATAAAAATATCGTTTTTATTACCAAATGATCAATACACTCAAATTGAGTAATCTCTTATTTAACAAAATATTAATAGGAGAACAAAATGTTTAAATGCTATGATTTGACAATATTCTACTATCATTCAAATTGCATGAGCAGTGCATGGGGCATAGCAAAATAACACGCATCCTCTTACACAAAACTAAAACAAAAAAATTTGTTATGAATATAAAAACTTAGCCTAATATAACACACCCTTTCATAGTCATTTTTATGTTAAGTTATCATGGCAAATGAGTTATTTATGTACAGGACACCAAAAGGCACCCTACAGTGATATTGACCCACATATAAATAATAACTTCTGCAGCAAATTGCATATTTTTGTTCAGTTTGGGCCTCCAAATAAAATTGAGGTGATGTTTCCTTCTTGAGTGTGTACTCCTTATTGCACTATAAAGGCCATAAAAGCCTGATATACAATACATGACACAAAACATAAAAAAAACCCGTATTTAAAAATCTGAAGTTTCAGTAAACTGCTCCATATATTTAAACAAAAAAGTTGATTTTCAACTATTTGTTGCATTAGAAACAAATTAAGATAAATGACAGCATAATATATATAGTGGGTTCAATAACATTAATCTCTGTACTTACCAAACAGACCGCAAATAAACAATATTCATATTTATAACTGCGTAATGCACTCGTGTACGTAGTGTGACGCACTTACTGTGCGCCATTTCCAGCGACGCCACGTGACGGTGAAATAGCCAATCGCGCTCCTCCTCCTCCACACGAGTGAACGAAGATGGCGCAGGGCGGCACGGTTCCCAGCGATCTCTACCAGCATGTGTACTCGTTTCTCGTGGGAAATAAGTTCGCTAAAGCCGCGAAAGAGTTCTTAAAGCAGGCTAACGTGGTAAGAGCCCTTTTACATGTTTATTATAACCCCTCGCGTGCGCGGGAGTAGTAGAGCTGTAACGAGTCTATCGGCGCGCGGAGTCCTGACACGCAGTTCGTGTGGAACACGTGGTTATGAGCTGCTGTATAGCATGTGTTTAAATACGCTTAACTTTGCCGGTCTTTGTATCATTTTGACCCGTGTCCTTACAGCTTAGTTTTTCTTACACGTTTTAGAATGAACAGAATTAATTATTCATCATGATTCTTTTAAGATTGGCTTTTCAACAGCATTAGTGCGGTCTGTTGTTGTCTTTATATTAAGAATAATAAAATTATACAACAAAAGTTGAGAAACAAGAAAATGCAAAGGGAGAACAAAGTCAACAAGACATCAAAAATGTCAGAATAACCTACGTGAATGATTCACACACGTGTTATGTAGCCACAGAAGTCTTCGCTTTTTTATTTGATTTTACCGTATGTAAACTATATATACTATATGATTTACAGTTGTGTCCGTTTCATCTCATTAGAAACCTCAAGACCAAAATGAGGACAGTCTCCTGGACATCTTCAATTTTTGGGTGAAGTATGTACAAGCTGTGTCTTATAATTGTTTGAATGGCAACTGTAGGTCACTCTTGGTCATATACCTGTAGTTTTGCTGTCATTTCCACTGTTGGCTTGTACTTACTATGATTTGCCTGCTCAAGGTCCCCAGAAACCAAAAAGCGCAAAGCGGTCACCAGTGGCCCTGCGGTGGTCAACGGCCCATCGGCCAAGAAAGCAAAGAAAGATGCGGTGAGTTCAAGTAGTGAGGACTCCAGCAGTGAAGAGGAAGCTGCAGCACCTGCCAAGAAAGTCGTACAAGGTACAGAGCTGTTTTTTAAGTTGTTTTTTTTCTTATGCTCAGCTCACCAAGGCTGTATTTACTTGATCAAAAATACAATGAAATCAGTATTGTTGCAAAATATTAGGTAACACTTTATTTTAAGGTGTCCTTGTTACACATCTTACATGTACTGTTATTATAATAACAATAAAGTATGCATAATTACATGCAAGTAGCACCAAGACAAACCCTAACCATGTAGTAAGTACATGTAGTTAATTAATATTACTTAGTACTTAAATATATAATTACACTAACAGGGACACCTTAAAATAAAGTGTAACCAAATATTATTACAATTTAAAATAAGTTATATATTTATTTTAATATATTTTAAAATGTAGTTTGTTCCTGTCATGGCACAGCTGAATATTCAGCATCATTACTCCAGTTTTCAGTGTCACATGACCCTTCAGAAATAATTTTAATATGCAGATGTGGTGCTCAAGAAACATGTCTTAATGTTGAAAATGTTCTTTTAAACACATCCTTTCTGATTAGAAGTATTAATTTCTTTAAAAAAAAGCTTACTGACCTCAAATTTTGGGCAGTAGTGTATGTTTAAACACTCCATTAAGTATTTAACTTTGATAATAATTACTTGGTATTTAACTGTATTTGACAGCGAAAGCTCCTGCTCCAAAGAAGCCAGCAGCTGTAGCTGCTAAAAAGAGCAGCAGCTCTGAAGACTCCAGCGACTCGGAGGATGAAGCTCAGGCTAAAACAGCAGCAAAGGTCAGGAAGCTGCATGCTGTTTATGTGACCGTGTGTGGTATGACTCTGCTAGGATGCCTCTTCCTGAATCTGGGTCTTGTTTGTTTGGTGCACAGAAGCCTGCAGCTGTGAAACCTGCTGTTCAGCCTGCAGCACCAGCCAGGAAGAAAGACACCAGTTCCAGCAGTGAGGAGTCAGACTCTGAGGAGGAGCCGGCCAAAACTCCAGCAACAGGTGAACTGAAGTGAGCAGCTGTCTGTCATGAATGAAACGGCTTCAGTCTTTTCAGCCACACAGTATCATTATTTCTGTGTTACAAGCATTCAAATCACAGAGGTACTGGGATAAAAGTTTATAGTTCAGATATCAACGGTGTGTACAATAGCGATTAAAATAGAGTAAATCACCTTTTGTAAGTAATTTGACACTTCAAATGAAGATTTATCGATTACATTGAGTACGTTTACATGGACAACAACACTCCGATTTTAATACGATTAAGACAATACTCTGATTAAAGGGATAGTTCACCCAAAAATGAAATGTTTGATGTTTATCTGCTTACCCCCAGGGCATTCAAGATGTAGGTGACTTTGTTTCTTCAGTAGAACACATATGATGATTTTTAAGTCCAGCCGTTGCAGTCTATCAGTCGTATAATGCATGGCAATGGAAACAAAATCTATGAGAGTAAAAAAAACATGCACAGACAAATCCAAATTAAACCCTGCGGCTCGTGACGACACATTGATGTCCTAAGACACGAAACGATCGGTTTGTGCCAGAAACCGAACAGTATTTATAATTTTTTACCTCTAATACACCACTATGTCCAACTGTCTTTGGGCGCGCGCATTTTAAGTCGGTTTGAACAATCCGGATAAGCGCAAGTAAGTACCATTTTGATTAGCCGTCATACCTACAATGACTGTGCACTGTGTAAACAATGAGTGACGTATACGCGCAAGAGATCACTTCCGGCGCTTGCGTAAACTACGCCAGAGCGCGTACACACCTCACGCACCGAATGCAGTGCGCGCATATTTTGGGTGAACTATCCCTTTAAGAATCTACCATGTAAACAGAGATTTTTGATTACCTTAATCCGGCTAAAGTCATAATCGAAGTAAACCGAAATCGAATTAAGACATGTGGAGTATTTCTATTTTAGTCGCATTGCTGAAGTGCAGTACAGACATGTAAACACCTTAATCAAATTATTACCATCGTGTAGGACTTTTTGCCGCATTTTGCGACAGGATACACACACGGCAGTGCTCAACCGTTTGATGGCAAATAAAAGAGCTTCAACACCTCCGTCGTCTGAATGCACGTACAAATAATTAACTGCATTGAAGCTTTCATAAAATTAAAAATGCAACACCCAAAACTGTACATGGCATCATCACGAAGACGAATTATATGTTTATGCGTGAAATTCCGGAGGGGACGTCGGATGGCGTCGCGTGGAGACGTAATGACGTGTGCCATTAATCGAACTATGTACTATAACATGTAAAACGGGAACATGAAAGGAATATTCTAAAAACAACTCATGTACACACCATAATCATAATATTGGCTTATTTAGAATAAGGTAAATAATTAGATAATTAGAATTAGAACGTAGTCAATGTTACGCCAGTAGGTGGCGAAAAGGGGCTGTTAAAATGTATTTGTCTTTGAATCATACAAGAGATTCGTTCAAGAACGCTGATTCATCCAGTAATGAAACAAGTACATCTTGAGTGAGTCATGTAATCATTAATTCATAAATTACATGTGATTTTGTTTAGTTGTCTAATGTTTTTTCTTCAGAATCATTAGAGAACTACAACTTCCATTGGGGAAGAAAAAAAACCTCAATTTATCCAGAATCATGCAGTTCTATTTTGCACACAAACAGCTCTTAAAGAGTCCAGTTTTTATGTAGCCTGTTGTTTTTTGTTCATGGTATTCAGCTGCAACTAAATGGTTTGCAAAAAAAAGAGACACAGGATAAATGTTTGATATCATTATTTAATCACATTGGAATCTAAACTGGGAATCGATAAGCGGAATCGGAATTGATAAAATTCAAACGATACCCAACCTTAACTCACAGCACATATTCTGTGCAATGAAGCCCGCGGCGATTCTCTCTAGCGCGCACACGTGCCATGTGTGGGAAAAAAACCAAGCTCAGATTTTAAAATAGAGAGTGCATTTTTAATACTCTCGTGACATGCACGTATGCAAATGACGTCAGAAGGCCATAATCGATAATGGTCTATTACTGTATCGATGCAATGATTAATTTCGACACCCCTAGAGTTAATATTTTCAGGTATAATTGTTCAAAGTAAGTTTACTGTGGTTCAAAGTGGTGATCTGTGGTCTCCAGGAGCAAAGGCTAAGCCTGTGGCAGGGACCCCTAAACCGGCGTCCACTCCAGTGTCTGCAGCTCAGAAGAAGCAGGACAGTAGCAGCAGTGAGGACAGCTCAAGTGAATCCGAGGACGAGGCTCCAGCTAAGGTACATCAGCGTACATATTATAACTCACACGTAATCATGCTTTAGAATTCTATTGCAAATTGTAACCATAATAGAACCTATGATTTTTTTTTTTTTTCAGAATAAAAAATAAATTAGTTTGCCTGCTTAGTATTCACAATTTACAGTTAGTTCCTCTTACTTGATCACAGACAGCAGTAAAAACACCAGTCCCGGTGAAGACCCCTCCAGCTAAACCCGCGGCCCCTGCAGAATCCAGCAGTGAGGAGTCATCCTCAGATGAGGAAGATGCACCTCCTACTAAGAAACCCAAGATTGGTATTACTACTATTCTTTAACATCGGTCGATCTTAAAGGTGCATTAAGAAATGGGATTTGCTGGCATATATCAGTGTTCCCAAACAACCAGTATTACAGTGATCTTGGACTTTATACTGAAAACTATCACCATGGGTGCGTCATTACGCTTTATTTACTGGATCAAGTGATCTCAACATAATTAAACTGCTTTTTTGGGCCATGAATGAGTCCTAAGCATGCCTCATTTGAACATGTTAAGAAATCTTATAAGTGAGAAGACAAAAGTGAGTTTCTGAAAAAGAGGAGACAAACATGAAACTGAAGAGCATCTCTATTTACAGGACAATTCAACGCCGTCCCGCGCCCTGGAACACTGACCGCTCCAGCCAAAGCCCCTGGTAAGAGTTTGAAGTGTCCTGTATGAGTTACTACAGCAATAAGCCATGAGAGGCTGTGCATTACAGTGATGTTTAGTTAAGGGGTGTTATAATGGTTGCAATAATAATAATCAAAGTAAACCTTTATCCATAGATTTTTACAGACCTTCAATTATGTGAGGCAGCATGGTGCATTGATATAGAATTCAATTTTACATGTTTTTTTTTTCAATCAGCTGTAAGTTATATTTGTAATACAATCATTTTATGAATAACTGTATTTAAGCATAATACAAAAAAGCATAATTTCGGCACAAAAAAAGCTAAAAATTATGTATTATACGAAGATATAGCACTGATTAATTTGCATGTCTGGTCCCAAGATAGACTTATCCTTAAGAAAAACATAGTTAAAATATTAAACTTTAAATTAGCCGAAAGTTAACATTTCAAAGTTAAGAACCCTTTACAGAGAAAACAATTTGCTCTGTTTTTTGCTACAATAATCAATCTTACAGTTACTCGTATTCATTATGCTTTTTATACAAGCATGTAAACATTAGTTTTACATATGAAATATAGTTGTTGTTTTTTTTTAAACCAGTTGCCAAAGCTGCTCCGGCTAAAGCAGCCCCAGCTAAGAAAGCACCTACAAAGGTCACTCCTGCTCAGAAAAAGGACTCTTCGAGTTCAGATTCTTCAAGCTCAGAGGACGAAGCAGCAAAGCCAGCTGTCAAAGTCACACCGGCAAAAGCTGCATCTGCTAAATCTACACCTGCAAAAGTCGCTCAAGCTAAAGCCACACCTGCTAAAGTCACCCCGGCTGCAGACAAGTCTTCATCTTCGAGCTCAGAAGACTCTGACGATGAGGAGGAGGCCAAGAAACCGGCAGCTAAAGTTGTCCCTGTTAAGCCTGCGCCAGCCAAGAAAACGCCAGCTAAAGTCAAGCCCGCTGCAAAAGAATCATCATCATCATCTAGCTCAGAGTCGGAGGAAGACAAACCGGCCACAAAACCAACCCCAGCCAAGCCTGCTCCTGCTAAAGCTGCTCCTCCAAAGACAACCCCTGCTAAGAAAGACGATTCCTCAAGTTCAGGTCAGTTGTCATCACATCCATAAAGATACAACGTTTGCATTTAATCATTATTTACTTGCCTGCATGTCATTTGCAGCATGTATGATTGGCATATATGGAACACAAATAGAGATGCTTTGAAGAATGTTCATGATGCTCTTTTTCCATACAAAGAAGTTTCTACAACTTCCAGGCCCAATTTTTCTGAAGCCCTAAGCTTTCTTTTTTGGAGCTTGGTAGCCCTAGTCATTTACATTTAGAAATATTGAGTGAATTCAGAGTTCTAGAGTAATTTGGGTAACATTTGGGTGCTGTTTATCAAGATTGTATTAGCTTATAGATCTATTTTATCTCGCACCGATTCAGACAGCTCTGAGGATGAGGCACCTGCTAAACCAGCAGCAAGGTCCAAGCCTTTGAGCACTCCTAAACCTGCAGCCAAGCCCGCTAAATCCAGCTCTGACTCGGACAGCTCTTCAGATGAAGAACCTCAAAAGAAACCTGCCAGCAGACCGGTATCCAAACCTGCTACCCCAGCAAAACCTGCCCCAGCCAAACCAACTCCTGCAGCCAAACCGACCGCTAAACCAGCGGCAAGCAGCTCAGACTCGGACAGCTCATCAGATGAGGAGCCACAAAAGAAAACCACCGCCACACCGGTATCCAAACAAGGCACCCCAGCTAAACCTGCAGTTGCAGCTAAACCAGCCGATAGCAGTTCTGACTCTGAAACCGACAGCTCTGACTCCGAAGACGAGACTCCAGCTGCAAAGAAAGCTAAACCAGCGGCGGCTGCTACTACTAAGAGCCCTGCCCCTGCCTCCAAACCACCTGCTCCAGCAGCTGAGTCCAGCAGCAGTGATTCGGACAGCTCCAGTGAAGACGAGAAGAAGGTGAAGACTGTGACGCCCAAAGCAGCAGCAGCTAAGCCGGCCATGACTCCAATTAGTGCGAAGAAAGCAGAGAGCGGTAGCTCTGAATCTGACAGCTCAGACTCTGAGACAGAGGCTAAGAAGACTCCCGCCAAGCCTGCAGTCACCAACGGAAAGGCTGCTACAACAAAAACCCCCACTTCTGTAGCAAAGACTCCGGCTAAAAAGACAGCAGAGTCTTCATCCTCGAGTGACAGCGGTTCTGATGAAGAAGAGTCGCCTAAAACACCAGCTGCGAAAACGCCACCTGCTACAAAAGCACAGGCTGCTAAGGCCAAAGCAGACAGCAGCTCGTCTGAGGACTCTTCATCGGAGGAAGAGGAAACGACGGCCAAGACTCCCGTCACAACAAACGGTATTTGCAGGACTCAATATATCTGATAGCAAGGTGTTTTGTGTTGCTGGTTCACAAGCCCGTTTTTATTACTTTGAATGTGTTACGTAAATGCTTAAAATCAAACCTGTCATATTTCGCCTGTGATACTCCAAGAAACGGTAAAGCACCACTCAGCACTTTATGCTTGATAAAGGGCAGCGCAATCTTGAGACTTAAGTTTAACTTGTCATGTTATTGTAAAAAAACATGACTTTTATGTGTGAGATGAAAGCACCACTCAGCACATTTAAAGGGGCTGTTCACACAGAACTCAAGACAAAGGTCAGTGCAATGGAAAAATCACAAAGTCTCAGTATTTTTTTTTTACGATGTTTAACTTGACACATGTACATTTAGTGCATGTTTACATAGAAAAACAACTGAGAAGTGCCACAGTTGGTTTATTGCCATGTTTTGAATGAACGACGCAGCAGGAAGTTGCATCTCATGTAACGCAAGTTGCATAACTTGCAAGCACAGGACTGCACATCACGTGCAAATATTATGGTCCGTTTTATCAATACTACTTTGGTATTGAGTTATTTGCACTCCAGGTTCTTATGGTTTTGTCTGCCGTCTTGGATAAAAATTGGTAGCACACCTGTGATGACTTGAATTGCTGCCTATGTAGGATGATCGGTTTGGAATGGAGCCATAAAAGCCACCCATCCAAACAAATGTCATATTGCTTGTGGCAGGTCAAGTCAACACTCAGATTAGCTTGGAAGAGAAGGCATTTGTTCCATCTGATGCCTCCACATCAGTGTTAAACTGTTGATATTTATCATCTTCTAAAGCATTTAGCCTTCAGCACCATTGTAAACCACTCCCATTTGGTTTTTCGCTTCTCTCCTCTGATCGCAGGCACCAAGAGCAAAAAAAAGGGCAAAGAGGAAGAAACGACAACACCCAAGAATACAAAAATCACCACATCCACACCTCAGACTTTTCCCAGAACCAAACAGAAGGTAAAGGGCTGTGATTGTGAGCATGCTTGTGTTGATGTTGGCTCTTGTACAGTGCATATTCAAACACACCCAGGGGTCAAATTGGGAATCTGGGGGTGGGCGATTCTAGTTCCAGGCAAGACCTGCCCTGGAAATAACACTGAAGTCGATATGTTAGTATTTGTTGATCCAGTGAATCTTGCTTTTGATACAAGCAGCACTGGTGCTTTACATCCTTTAAGTGTTAAAGGGAAAGTTCACCCAAAATGAAAATGATCGTTTACTCACCATGTTGTTCCAACCCCAAGATATTAGTTTATTTTTCGAAACACAAATCAGTGATTACTGTGTCCCTCCATTGAAAGTCTCCGCAAAAACTGACACCTCAGAAGTAACAGACAGAAAATAGCTTCTTGTAAATAGTTTTTTGATGTAAAAATGTTGATAGCATTATAAGTGGACCTCGGAGAACAGTACAACATAAAAATCAGAGGCAGTTCATGGCCCCTATAAAACTCATACTTAAAAAAAATAAAAATAAAGTATATACAGTGGAAATGATTTTAGCAAATGGCTGCAATATAACAAAGAGTGAAAAATTTAAGGGGGTCTGAATACTTTCCGTACCCACTGTATGTTAAACACTAGTTTATAGCTTTTAGAAGAGGCAAGAGTTCCTCATTCCACTCACCTTACCAGAGTAAGAAGCTCCACTCCACTCACAAGGCGCGTTGCGTCAATTTCGCGTCAATTTAGCAAAAACGGCCATATATCGCAAAAAAGTTTTTACGCTCGCATGATACTATAACCTCCAAGAAACATTTCATAAGTGGCCGCTCTCCAGTATAAGGGGCTTTCGCTACCATTGATGCTTAGACAATTTACACTGCACACGTCTGCGCTGCAATGTGGCTCTGATACGGTCACTGAAGCTGATTACGGCCACTCAGTGCTTGTGTTTATGTTTTTATACAGTCTATGGTTTATTCCAGCCGCGCCACGCACGTTTCTGAAGCGGCTCTCTTTGCTGCTTCTGTAAAGATACACGCATAAGCCTCCTTTGAATAAATATAGCCAAAATCCATTGCCATGACTTATCGCGAGAGGCAAAAGGTTACGTTTAAGTCTCATAACATTGGTTAATGGAAACGCCGTCATTTCGCAACACTTTTTTATCGACATTTATAAAATATCGCCAAAGTTTTGCGCAAATCTGTAATGGAAACGCTCCTACAGTTTGCTTATGCACTTGTGCTTAAAGGTATGTTCTGTTTTTTTCTCTGTTGTGTGACTTGTAAAGGAAAGCAATGCTCCTTTCCGTAGAGTAAGAGACGAGGAAATTGAGATGGACCCCCGCCTGGCAGACAATTCATTCGACGCAAAGGTAAGATGATAAACATGAATGCATACTAGGTCAACGTTTACTGTAAGGAGAGTCTTTGTGCACGTATAGTGCTTTAATTCGTTCGACTCTTGTTACTTACTTCTAGATGGGAGCCAACGGTGACTGGGGCCAGAAGGCCAACAGCGTGCTTAAATTTACTAAGGGCAAATCTTTCCGGCATGAGAAGACCAAGAAGAAGCGTGGCAGTTATAGAGGCGGCGCAATCTCCACCTCGGTGAACTCCATTAAGTTTGACAGTGACTGAGATCAATCTCAAATTAAGAACCTCTGAACTCTCCATGTCTGTCTGTTTGACCCATTTGTTGCTACATCAGCTCTAGCAAGCACTGTTTTGACCCGTCTAGCCTCTGTTCCTGCGCATGTTCCTGACATGGGCCGGCATTGACTGAAGAAAGCACGAATAGAGGGGGTTGAGGTGTATGGCTGTTTTTTTTTTGTTTTTACTCAATCTTTCAAGCAGTTAGACACGGTGACCACATGGTGGCGCCAATTCATTGTGTTTAGGCCTATTGATTAGCTTGTATGTAAAATATGGTTTTGGCTTCACTGTAAAATGTTTCTTAAAGTTGGCATGACAAATTATGGGCGTCTGTTCTAACAGGTAATTGTTAATATACTAGAAATGACGGAGTGATTTTCTTTTTTATTATTATTATACGTCAAAGAAATGTCATTGTAATGGTTGCATTAACATTTTATGAGCCTATCCATGCATCTTGAGCCTGGTGATTTGTCTGATTTGAAGAAGCGGTGTAGTTAATGACTCCGCCCACTTCTGTTTGACACACTGGAAGACCACCCTTAAAATAGCACATGAATCATCCTCCAGTGTGTCAAACAGAAGTGGGCGGAGTCATTAACTACACCGCTTCTTCTGTTTGACACACTGGAAGACCACCCTTAAAATAGCACATGAATCATCCTCCTTCGGTTTTAGTTTTAATCTTTTATGGCTTCATATGTTATGCAGGATTTTGTAATTTGGTGTGCTTTATGATCAGTCTTGTAACTGTAATTAAAACTTGGACTGAAACTCAACTGTTTGTCTGTTTTTGACCAAATAAGTTGAATCCATATTTATGAAATCTTATAAAACAATATGCCAGGAGTAACAAGTTTCCAGTCTACAGGTTTACTCACTGAACTCTTCTTTCAGATGAAGCCTGTTTTGAGTATTTACAACTGAGCATTCAAAAGATTGTCAAAGGTAGGATGAGGTCCGTGTCTATACTGATAATAATTTCAAAATGTACAAGGTTCCTTTGACAATAAGATTATGTATGTTAACAGTTAATACATTAGGGTGTCATGAAAAAGCAATGAACAAAACTTTTTAATGTTAATTTCTACTGTTAGCTGTTTTAATTTCATGTATGAATTAATGAAGTTGTATGTTTATACAATTTGAACATGCATACATTTATTTTTTTTTTTTATAAAATTGTGAATTTGTTGAGTTAACACATAAGGTATGAAATATCAATGAACAAATCTTTTTAACGTTAATTTCTCCTATTTGTTTTTTTTGAATTTCATGTATGAATTAGTGCTATTTACTGTACGGGCATTTTTTTTACACTCAATATTATTGATTGTTTGTGATACCCAAATGCATTAATGAATTGAACCTTATTGTGAAGTGTTGCTTTTCATGCAGTTAGAGTATAGTATTCTCTCCAGACAAACAAAAAAGTAATGGGACAAATAATTCATGAAAAGTACCCCGAAGCCTGCTTAGATCTGCCGCTGATTGCATAAACTGTATTCAGTGGTTTCACCAGTTCTCTAATTTCTCGCCCTCCAAGTTTTGATTGCATGTAGTGTTTTCTACTTTGCCAGTTACATTAAAAACTTGGTACAGTCTAATTTGAATCCTAAACATCAGACTAGTGCTTATGACAACATAGTGGCTGTGTTTATGGCTCACTTGTGTTACTGGCTCCAAGTGAGAAGCAAAGACTTGAAGTTTTAAAGGTAAAGTTTTGCTGACTTTTTTTTTTTTGGACATTGGTTTAATTTTTCATTAAACACTTCACGAATGAATTGTGAGAGACGACAGACACATCTGCAGCATCCAAGTGGCAACCTTCTGGTCTTTTGTGAAACCAACACGGAAGTGACTAAAACTGCAATTCATCGACTGGCCGCTAGAGGCTGGCTCCAAAAGGGAGTCAGTCCCATAGACTCCCCATGTTAAAATGCCCAACTTTACAGCAGAAAAAAATGTTTACAGCCTGGTAAAAAAGTGGTTTTGGTCTATATAGTTAATTTTGCCCTTCATGACAACTGTGAGGGGGTGAATTTTTTTTATAACTCATCCGTTTGCTGTCCCCGGCGTTGAGCTAGGTGGGCGTGGCTTCAGCAACCTGCTCCCGCCTCTTTGCCCATTTTCGATTATCTGGTGAGTGACACGCTGCCAAGATGGCGACGGCCGGCTCCACCAACTTTGAGCTTCAAAAACGCTCTTCAGAAACCTACGTGTGACTTCACGGACACTACGTCCATGTTTTTATACAGTCTATGGTTTTTTGGCATTTTCATTTCATTTTACCTGATAAAGTAAGTTAGCGTTCATGAGTGCAGCTCTGCTTTGTGTACAGCCATTACCGGGGAAACCGCTTTATTATCCGCTCCAAAAGCGCCTCCTGCTGGCAGAGAATTAATTTGCCTTTCTCACGTAGAGTTGTAAATGTGAAAGACGTTAATGTGCATTCTAAAAATCTTAGCAATTCAGACAGTAGTATTTATTTGTTTTAAATTAATATAATTTATCCCCAAGTTTCATAGACAAAGGCCTAAGCTTACTCCCTGACTTAAATGTAATTCTGAGCTGTTTCAACTGAAAGAAACTGGCACTGACTGATCTTAAAATATATCAGTGCCTTTGTTTTGTCTCAAGATACACACGATGTTTTTTTTCTAAGGCACGTTTATAAAAAATTATTTAAATGTAATTTTATAATTTTTAAATATTAAATTATTTAAATGTAATTTAACTTCAAAACCGCTCTTCAGAAACATACGGGTGACGTCACGTCCATGTTTTTATACAGTCTATGGCAGCATCATGTATTAATTGAAAAGGAAGTTCAGTCAAACCCCAGATTCCTCCAGCCAGCTGCATTGTTTATCAGAGATCTATGACCGATGGTGACTAGAAACGTTTCATGCGATGATGAAAGAGGCTCATGGGGGGGCTCATGGGGGGTATGTCCTTACATTAGCACAGATGAAGGGCTGTTAAGTTATTCAGCAGGGAGCAAATGCTAATTCACCTCAGATAAATGTAATGCTGCCCTGGGGTGGATGTCTAAAACGCTGCTCATACTGCAGCAAAGTGAAATTCAATTATATAATACTTAAAATCACACACCTCACCTTCACCTCTAAGTGTTTATTTGAATTATGTATCTTATTCATTAATAAAAATATGCAGCTCTTTATCATTTCATGGTCTGAATAACATGGTAAAGATATATATATATATATATATATATACATATACACTACTGTGCAAAAGTCTTAGGCCATTACTGTTTTCGCCCAACATTTCTATTGTTTATTAACATAAATTCTGTACATAAATCATAAATTCTGACTGGATGAGCCGCATGTAAATTAGTTGTAAAATGCTGATAAACATGTTAGTGTTCATTGTTCACATTACATAATCAGCCTGTGGCTAATAAAGAATACTTAATGTATTAATTTACTACATGATTATCTTGAATAAATCAAAGTGTTTAGTGAACATTGTGTTTTTGGACACGTTTCTGTGTTCAAGTATGACATTATGTATTAGCTTTTGTACAGTATGCAAGAAACCTTCACCTTTTTGTGACCGTTGGGAGGGATTTAAGCCTTAATCAAATAATCAAACCTCCTCATATCATTAACACGTAAATACACAGACTGTAAAATGTTTTAATATTATCATTCCTTCAGAAAAGCCATTCAACAACGAGATTTTCAAAATATTAATGCAGCTTACAACTAAATTAAAATTGCTTGTCGATATCATTAACACGTAAATACACAGACTGTAAAATGTTTTAATATTATCATTCCTTCAGAAAAGCCATTCAACAATGAGATTTTCAAAATATTAATGCAGCTTACAACTAAATTAAAATTGCTTGTTGTCACTGGATGCTAATAAATCAGTTCTGAAGTGGAGACTTGAGACGCACTTGACAACAGGAGTGAAAAATAAGGAGCTTTTTGCTGAAGAAGTGATGGTGAGTGTTTTAAAATCAAAGCTGAATATCATATGAATTATCTGAGTAAGTCCTAACATTAATTTCAGACCAATGGCACTTGATGATGACCTCTCGCTGTTGTTTTCACACGCTTCAGTCACATTCTAGTGTATGTAGAATTGTGCATTCAACTCCAAAACTGGCCGACTGCAAGAAATAAATACAAGATAGTGAGCTCTGTTTGGATGTTGAGTAGAGTTGCAAACTCCTTCCAAAGGAGTTCATCCCTTAATGATTAATTATACTCCATATGGAGCGTAACATTAATGGACGGGCGGCCGTCTCAGCCGTTACTGCTGTTTTGGCATGGCAAAGTCCCAGGCAGTGTCCTGGGCACACTTCCACATGGCGCGCACCAGCCGGGTGAAACCCATATCCTTGGGCTTCTCCAGCCCACGCATCAGCCGCTGTTTCATGATGGCGATAAACTCCTTATTACTCAGCTCCCCATTTCCTAAAAAGAAGAGCAAGTTAAATAGAGTACGTGTGAGAGAGAAATATGATGGGTAATTATCACCAACTCCATACGCTTACCAACCCTCAGCAGAATTTAAAGTACTGATGCAGCAGTTCTGGTGCTGTGCTCATGTAATTGTACTTGTTAAAATACACCCATAAAAAAAAAATACAAAATTTTTACAACATTTGTTGCATAAATAGCACCTTGCAAAAAAAATAAATAAACAAAAAAACCCGGAACCGGATTGTAAATATTTCATGTTAAAAGATGCTTAATTATAATTCAAATAAATAAATAAAATAATTAATTAATTAATAAAACTTGCCTATATTCATGACTAAACTAATAACTGTGAGTGGACCACTATTATTATCATTAACAGAAACAAAGACTAAAAAAACAACTGAAATAAATATAAAATTAGAGTTAGCAAAAACTAAAATTGTAAATGTTCACAAAAATATGAATGAAAACTCAAATAATTATGATACAGTACAAATCATTTACAACATTTGTCGCATAAATAGCAGCATGCACGGAAAAAAAAAGAAAAGAAACAGAACCGGATTGAAAATATTTAATGTTTAAAGATGCTTAAATTAATTAATGAATTAATTTAATTAAATGAATAAAACTTGCCTATATTCATGACTAAACAGATAACTAAAAATGTGGACCGCTATTATTATCAACAAAAACAAAGACTAAAAAAACGAATGAAATGGAAATATAAAATTAGAGTTAGCAAAAACTAAAACTACAAATGTGCACAAAAATACAAATGAAAATTCAAAATGAAACAAATTATTTAAGTTTTCATATTCTGAATGTGTCAAGACTGACTTTAGACTATCTGTATATTCAGTATAACAAAACCAAACAAAACAAAATTGAACAAAACAACACAAAACAAAACCAAACACAACAAAACTGAACAAAAACAACACAGAATCAAACAAAACAACATAAAACAAAACCAGAACAAACACGCACACAAAAACCCCACCCAATTACAGAAGAAGCAGCTGTCTGATTACAATTTCAATATCAAAACAAATGAACTAAAGTCGTGAAACGTTCAAAACCTTAAAAAGCTACTATGATTGCCAAAAAAAGTCTTAGGTTGCACAATCATAAAAAATTTCTCACTGTGTGTCCTCGATATTTAGTGATATGATGACTGATAATAATCTGATCTGATGTTATACTTGAAACATTAAAGTCTAAAATCTGCTATATTGGTACTAGCACTTAACAGTCCATCAGTGTATCAACCAGTGCCATCAGTCTCAAAAAATGATACTGCTGCTTTCCAGATT